TTCTTCTTCTTCTTCTTCTTCTTCTTCTTCTTCTTCTTCTTCTTCTTCTTCTTCTTCTTCTTCTTCTTCTTCTTCTTCCTCCTCCTCCTCCTCCTTCTCCTCTGCTTCTTTTTAGAGCCATTAACCTGGAGCACAGCAGAGATGGTTAATACATGCTGATTATTTGTGAAAGAAAGACATTGACTGATGGGCATCTCTGTGATAGATATAATGTGTACTTTCATTCAAGTGAATGATTACACTATGCCTTAATGCAAGGTGACAATGTGTTTCATGGTCTCCCTATTTCATTTTCTAATGACAAATTAACTTTATTAGGCCTCCTGTTGTATATCTAATATGATAACAGTAAATGTTGCAGTAAATGTGTGCTGCAAGGCTTTTCAAGGCTTACTATTCACGTTTGATGTCTTAGCCTAAGAAGTGTAGGCATCACAATTTTGATTGGGATACATGAAATAATTGAGAACCAAGAATATGCATTCAAATAATATGTGAATCAGTTACCTTCCTTAATATGCATATGTAAGGAACTTATTAAAAGTTCTTTTGTAAGTAATTGATTGTATCTCAGATGGATTACACCGATTGGTTAGAGAAGCAGAATACAAGAAGGCTAAGAGCCATTGATCACGGTTTAGTTTGACTTGTTTTAGTTTTCTTGGCCTGTGTGATCTTTCTTAAGTCTTTGTGGGATTTGCTCTGTATAGCCTACAGCTCTTTAGATTTGGAATGAGAAAAAGGGACTGGAATGTGCATGACTCGCACATAGACAGAAATGCCTGCCAAATTAATCACTTCTTTTCAAAGGATTGCACTAGAACAGTGGTGTCAAATTCTCAGCCCATGGGCCAGATGCATCACATACTGGCCACACCCACCCCATTTTATTGAAGGGGGAAAAAGTTGTGATACGTCATGTGATGACAATGTGTCATCGCAAGTTTGATACTCGTGTGCTAGAGCTGCAGTGAGGAGCTGTGTGATCCTGGGAAGAAAGAGCTGTTTTAATGAGTTGCTGACCAACTGCTACCAAGTACTCTCACTCATTCCGAAGTATGTCCTTATGGCCCCATAGTTCTGCTTGGTCTGATAGTTTGCCATTTCATTGCTGTAGATCTATGTGATTTATCATAGTGTAATAACAACGGTAAATGTTTCTGAATACACGTCACCACACAATTCCTTTAAATTCCCCAGCTTTCCTACGTATTATTACTCTGTTTACCTCATATGTCTATATGCTATCTTTACAATATATTTTATTTCCTCCTCTTTATGTTTACATTTCACTGTGTCTTCTGTATGGATGAAGGACAGCAGATATTGGAATTATATATTTCCATATATTCATGTGAATAGAGCAAAATTAAACCATGACCTAATATTTTGGGAGTGGGTGGATTTTCAGCTTTTGTATTTAATACTTGACAATAGGTAACAATGATAATCTTCCAGGTTCAAAGAACTGAATCCTCCCTCATTAATTAATATTTACATTTTCTGTAAAGATATTCTCAGAATTGAAGAACCTCACAGAAATTTTCTAAACAAAGAATTTATTTCCTGAAAGTATTTACCAGATATACACAGTAGTGGGATTCAGCTGGTTCACACCTATTTGGTAGAATGGTTTGTTAACTTTCTGAGCAATTGCGAGAACAAATTCTTTATCATTCAATAAGGCAACATTAAAATTCCAATTTCTTAATACCTTAACCAATTTCTGAAACACACATTCAAAGTAATTGCCTCATAATCAGATATACAGTATAACAAAGATCAATATTACACTTTTCAATTTGGTAATACAAGGTCTATAATATTAAAACTGATCAAGCTTTAAAAAATTCTCATGCACACCTATTTACAGTAGAATATGTATTTTGTTTTGGTTGGATACATCAAATGCTAGATGTCAAGTAAATTCAGTTCTTCTATGTAAATCTTAAATTAAATAATGCTAATTTAGAACAATTTGTACATTAATTGGAAATCCTTTACAAATTAAAATGGCCATGCCTTTAGCGTTGGTTAAGTATCTGTGAGATAAACTGTCCCATCCAATCCTTCATTAATAAAAAGTTCTCCTCTTCCATTAAATCAGTTTTATATAGATAAGCAAAGTCTGCTCTTAATGATTATAAATAAGCTACCGGTAAGTTTATATTTTGGGTTTTTTGGGATTCACATAACCCTTTTACCAGTGGTGTGATTCAAATAATTTAACAACCGGTTCTCTGCCCTAATGACCGGATGGGTAGGTGTGGCCATAGTGGGCGTGGGCAGGGTGTGTGACAGGCAGCACTTAGACTCCTGCACCCCACTGGGAGAAAAAAAGGGCCACAATGGGGCTGCGATGCACCCCCCATGCCCCATTTTGGGCCTAGTAGGCCTTCCTGCAGCCCCCTAGGAGCAAAAATGGGCCACGGGGAGACTCCTGGAAGTGGTGGGGTGGGGCCAGCCAGCAATTTAACAACTGCTTCAGCTGAAGTGGTGTGAATCGGTTGAATCTGATCACTGGCTTTTACATTAAGACTAACTTAGTCTATTTTATTTTGGCCCACTTATTAATACAAATACCAATTGATTTTATGGCATATCCCATTTGAAAAATGACAAATAATAATATTTTCTATATTTAAATATTTAAAATATTTTCTAGCATTGCTCATAAATGTAAAGCCTTCATAAAGATTGAATTTAGCATTCAAATAGCACTCTATAGGTATATGTGGAATCTATATTTAAAAGAAAAAAGTATGTGCATAAAAATAAATGAACAAAGAAATAACTTTTTAAAAATCCCCTAAAAAGTATACATAAGTAATCATCATCATCATCATCATCATCATCATCATCATCATCATCATCAAACAACTTGAAGATTTGCTAAAAGGGAAGGCTCAATAATTTCATTTCTCTTTTTATTCTGAAAATTACAAGACAGTTTCAAGCATTACTAGTTAAAAAATGTACCCTGTGTTAAAAATAGAATTGGCAGTAGGCCCAGACTCTGTACCTTGAAAGTAACCAAAATATAAGCAAAAAAAAAAAAAAAGGTGGGAATTTTTTTTCAAATGTAGATCTTTTAAATAGACATTTTTACTACAGAACTGAAGGCAAACCCAAATTCTCTTGATCTCTTGAGCATCTCCTAGACATATTTGGTTTGAATTTCCACATTTTTCATCCAAGGTGGTCAAAGAGGAATATCTAGTTTTTTGGAGTTAATAGATTAATGCCTTTTTAATGCAATGTTTCATGGAGATTATTTGCTTGTAGCTATTTCCATATGTCTGTTCTGACTGGAAACTCAGGAAGGCAGAAAACTCTCAAGACTATAAAATGGTTATTTGGTTCTTTTGCTAGATGTAAGAAAATCAGGAAACCAAAAGGTTTGATGCAATATTTTCTGTTGCTTCTCCTATATCAGTTTCATAACAGGGCATATTTGAATGCTTCCAGGTAATGATGCCTCTCTTGGTGAACCAGAGAAACCATCACAGTTGGCCCAATGTAGTATCCCAAGATATTATTAATCATGTCTGCTCTCTGAAAAGGAGTGTTTTTGTGATGGTTGGCCAAATTAGAGGAAAAACATTGCTATCTCTACCTATTGAGCCTGAGAGGGAGAGATGCATTAACTCTGACAATGAGAAAAAGTAAGTTGTAATTACAATGCTATTGGATTAAGTGGTCATTTTCAAGATACTGCATGAATTGAAAACTGTTTATGTTTAAGCTATAAATTGTTGAATGAGTAGGAACAGAAGCATAGAAATGTAAACATGTTGTGCAAATAATGTGAGCCTGTAATAATACATTTGTTTTGTGACAAATTTCCTATTATTTCATTGAAAGTGAGAATTTATGTTTTTGCCTTATATATTTGGTTTCTACAGAACCACTTTCAAAAGACAAATAAGGCTGATCTGTTGATACTTTTGTTTTTTGCAGTACTGAACTGGTAGATAAGTCTATTATTCATGCAATTGAGTCTTCTGTTATTGAATGGACCCACCAGATCCAGAATGTTCTTAAGAGACAATCTTCAGAACTGCTTTTGCAAGGCAAAGATCCCCATCCAATGGTGGAGTTGGATTTTTGGAAAAATAGGTACTATATGTTGTTTAACTCATTCTATAATGAAATCTAAATAGAGTAGGAAGAGTTGCCAGTTGTGGTAGGTTATTTGCCCTAGCTGATCTGGAGGAAAAAGTTGAGAAGTATCCATTTAAAAAGAAAAACTAAGTTGTACTGTTTCTTACTTTCTAGATGACACAAAGAATAACATTTCTTTGTTACATTCATTTTTCCTAGGAAGGTTATAAGCCTGTTTGCTGCAAGAGAGAATGTGATTTAATTGGTGGAATAAATTTTCTCATACCTTCTTCATTATATGTTACAGATATGAGGATTTACAGTGTATTTATAGCCAACTAAAAGCCAGAAGAATTTTGACCATGTTAGAACTACTAGATAAGGTGCAAAGCACTTACTTCCCAGCACTCAAATCCATCTTCAGTGATGTAGAAGCAGGTAAAGCTGTGAATTTTTGGATTATTGTGATTAAACATAGATTATTATTGCAATTACTTGATCAATATTCTATACATAAAAGTCAACCTCTACAAAGTTATTAAGATTTACTTCTTTTCTTGTATAAAACATTATCACAAGAGTCTTGTTTCATGATTTCTAGAGATAGTCATACATGGCATTAAATCTCAATGATTAATCTTCAATTAATGAAGATCATGATTTTGCGGGGACAAAGGCACATTTGGAATTTTTAGCAAGGTCATGCACCTCACATTATTATATGGGTATACATTGACAAAACAATTGTCTTGGTGGATGCAATCAATCAATTTATTTACTGCTTTGACCACAGTTATAACAAAAATGAAGAGTATAGTCAATAACAAAACATAATAGAGACAAATAAGTATGGATAAAATATAACTAGCTTTTGAAAAAAGTGAATAGAGGAACCTGATGTATACAGTTAAATGTAATTAATGGAAAATCAGTAGAAAAATTCACTTGCTATCAAGAGGAACATCATATGTCACTTTTATCAATCTAAAGATTGCATTTGAGTTAATTCCCAGAATTAGATAAAACAGGTTGTCCATAAAGCAAACACTCTTACTTCTGATTCTAAAACTTCTGAAAACACTTAAGTGCAAATTAAAAGACTCCTAGGGTGTGTCTCTGTAATAACTGAGGTACAAAAAAGAACAAAGCATGATTGCTTTTACTCCTGTAAAATTCTATAACAGACATTTAGATTGGTGGATTTTATCTTATTAAACTGGTTACTAAATCTAGTCCAGTTGTTCTTTAGGATGATGATGATGATAAAGATGCATCTGTCTTCATCATACATAAGAATATATATATATATATTTATATATATATATATATATTCTTAAGTATGTGTCAGAACATGCTGTCATTTGGGGACATTGAATCCCATAGATCTGTGACTACTGGCTTCTGTTATGGATTTATTTAGTCCTCTACTAACAAATTCTTATTCTTATATATTTATATTCTTATATATTTATTGTATCCACAAACATTTTCACCTTAAGCTATGAGACCATCTTGTGTTGATGTTGAGCTTTCACTGAAATCCATACTAATTAATGATATAACTGTATAAAATTGCATTGTTAAAATGGGTAAGAATGTTGAGATCAGATTCTAAGATTTTAAAATCTCAGACATTCTCAGTACAGTTAAAGTACGGACAGCAACATTTTATTAATTGTCTGTGTATGATATATTGATGAAAATGTCATACATAAGAAGAAAAATTTGCAAAAAATCTTATAGCTGGTACAAAAGGAGAATCAATTGATACTGCTTTAAAAAACTTACTTTAAAAAGGCCTGTAGTTCATTGACAAATATTATTGCTTGTACATCTGGTGGAGCTCCAGTTATGGCAGGAAGACATGGTGGAGATATGTGATTTTTGAAGAAGGAAGTTCTGCATGTTTTTCTATTCATTGTATAATTCTCAGATAACATCTTTTAAAGTCCAAGTTTATACAATTTATTAAATATCACAGTGAATGCTATAAATTAAGATTATGACCAATTCCAAGAATGAGCAGTTGTTTCAACCTGTTTATTGATATAACAATGAACGGTTTTATGCTTGTTTGTTGTTAGATGTGCACAGTTAATGGCTTTCTAAAGAAAATTGTGTGACTCTTTAATTGGATCTGTCTAAAATTTCGAGTAAGCAATTGATCCTTATTGATTTTGAGAATGTTATCTCTAAGTCTATTGAGAAATTAGCTCTATTTGCACAATATAGCTTGCCAAAAGCATTCTACGAATTTTGGAGAAATTTTAAGAACATTTATATTTTCTGAGAGTTAACATAATGAGTTCATACAATGAGTTAACAAACTGAATACTGATGTGTGGATGATGAATCCTTTCAGAGAAATATGTATGGTGTAAGATACATTGTGTCAGGATGATATGGTAGATTGTATCATGATTATGAATGTAAAATCAATGTTAAACAACACAGAAAATTGCAAAATAGAGAAGATGCCCTCAGTATATTCATAATTGTAGACCAAATGTTAATCAATATTAATACTATAGCTTTCCCATTTTTCTATCTAGTTAAATTAGGTTTCAATGCAGACAATCATTTTCCCATAAAAGAAGCAAATTGTTTGGATATAATAGAAAAACAAGCTCTTTGTCTGACCACATTAATCAAATCCTGAAACTTAGATAGAAGACTCTAAGACAAATATTGTATTACAAATGAAACAAAAATAAGTAATGTTAATAAAATGAGATAATTTTATGGGTATATTTTTATGAACATGAATACATTTTATTTGAATGAAAATTTATGTGCAATTTATATTTGAGTTTAAAAGTAAAAAAAGATTAATAGTATTAAAATCTAAAAAATTAATGACAATAACAATAACAATGTATAAGTAAGTAGGCAGTAAAATCATTGCAAACATAACAAATATTGAAAAACTGGTCACTGAAAGGTTGATGATTATTGCTGTGTAATACATCAAAGTATTTAAGTATCTGGGAATTACTTTTTAATCCTCTTTGCCTGGAGGAAATAATTAAAAGCTAAAGATTGGTTAATACAATTCTGTATTTCATAGATAGTAAAGGCCCACTGCCCTAATTGCTGTCAAAATCAAAATTATTAGCCCTCATTTGACCTTAAAAATACCTTGGACTATGGAAGCAACCTAAATTCTTAAGATCTAGAAATTAGGAGAGTACTTTGGGAATGGGCTGAGTGAAATACCATTCATCTATCCTCTGTGTGCCTTCTCTCTGGTGAGTTTTAATAGTTTGTCATTTAAACTAGTAGAAGGGAGATCTAACAATATCCTAACACAAGCATAATTATGCTCATGATAACAGGGGAATACTGAATCTGCATTTTTTTATTGCACTGCCTGTTTTATATTGTTTGGCACTAGGGCTTAATAACCCTTTTGCTGCTAAATTGTTCTGGCTGGTCTAATGTGGAGAAAATTCATCTTCTTTTGGCTATGCCTATATAGACATAGCTAATGAAGTAACTAAGTTTTGTGTAATTGCCTTTCTAATAGGTGAATAATGGTAATACTCTAAATATTGAATAAGTGTATATGTTTATCATATTGGTGCCTAGAACACAATTAAATAGTCTATTTATACCCATGTGAACTCTGACTTCTATTTCTTCCTGTTCCTGGTTTATGTTCCCATCATTTGCTCCCTGTTATGTATATTCTTCCTTAATGGCTAATCTTTGACCCTAAATCAGTAAGGCTGATTTAAAACTGTTTTCTTTTTAATCTGAGCAGCTGGGATGCTTAAAAATGAAGCTCTGGTCTCCCACATTAAGCCTAGAAGTATTCAATAGAATAAAAATGATAATAGGTAGGGTGGAAGCAAATGCTTGGTTTCATTCTTTCCCATTGATATAATTTGTAAATGAAAAAATAATAAAAGGAACAAGCATCATCTGTTCGCAACTGTTATGTATTTATGATGGTTGCAGTGTCCTGGGGTCATGTGATCCCCTTTTGCAAATTTCTGATGAGCAAAATCAATGTAGGAAGCCAGATTCAGCTAATAATTGTGTTACTGCAGTGACTGACATAACAGCAGAGGTGGGTATTCAGCAGGTTCTGACCAGTTCTGGAGAACCAGTAGCGGAAATTTTGAGTAGTTTGGAGAACCAGTGGTAACCTTTCCCACAGGAGTGGGGAGGGAATGGAGATTTTGCAGTATCCTTCCCCTGCCATGCCCATCAAGCCACACCCACCAAGCCACGCCCACAGAACCGGTAGTAAAAATTTTTGAATCCTACCACTGCTTAACAGCTGTGGCAAGCAGCTTAAGTAAAAATTGGGGAAATGCACTTAACAGCTGTCTTGCTTAACAACAAAGATTTGGGGCTTAATTGTGGTTGCAAGTTGAGGACTACCTGTATACCATTCACCCATTAAAAAAAATCTTCTTTAAGAAACTGCTGAATCCTACAACATACTGCAGGAAATTGAGTTATACGTTGTTACTTTTGTGATATATTTTCTTTGCCTTTCTTTTTCTCTGCAATTTGAAGAGGAGATCCCATTAATTTTAATATCTCATGTTATCTAACTGCATGCAACATAAAGCTAAGATAAGTTTGTTGACACTATAATTCACAATATGGATACTTGGGGAAAAATCCCTTTGTCTATAAAATGATTTATTTCCAAGGAATTTCATTTTTATATTGTCTTGTGAGAAACACACAAAGTTAAGTATTTCTTCTTTAAAAACTGTGTACTTTGTTTTCAAAAATCGCAGCTTTGATTGAAGCCCAGGATATAAATATGCACCTAAAGCCTCTCCAGTGCCCATTGGAAGAAATAGAAAATGTGGAATTTAATGAGTTGAAACCATTATTAAATTGCATGCTTCATATAGTGTGCTTAATATGGGGCACTTCAAAATATTACTGTGCACCTGCTAGGATAATTGTGCTTCTTCAAGAAATCTGCAATCTTCTTATTCAGCAGGTAAGACCTGAAGCAGCTCTAACCCTGCCTGATTGTTTATTTGCATGTTGATCACATTTAGAAACCACCCAACTCCCTCACGGGGCAACTCTGGACAGTGTACAAGTAAGACATAAAAACATAAAAGCTGTATATAATTATCCAGATTTCTAGACATTTTGGAAAGGTCAAGAGAGAAGGGGTGGGGGGAACCTCATCTCTGGAAGGAGGATGTTCCAGAGGGTGGAGGCAATGGCAGAGAAAGCTCCCCTGGAATCACAGGTTCCACAGCATACCTTTTCTGCCTGATCAGGTGGGATGGGCTGATATACCGGTAATAGGGCAAAGATAGTTCCACAGGTAACTTGGTCTCATGCCGTGTAGGACTTTAAAGGTCATAAGCAATACCTTGAGTTGGACCCAGAATCAAACCAATACCCAGTACAGCTCATGTATAAGTTTATATATGTTGTCCTTGGGACCTCCAAGATTGCTCGCGCAGTCACCTTATGTACCAGATGAAGCTTCTGGATACTTTTAAAGGGTAGCCCCATGTAAAGCATATTGCAGTAGTCCAGACAGGAGATGGTCAGGGCGTGAGTGTGCAAGGGAAAAACCTCCCCATCCAGGAAAGAGCGTAGCTAGTACACAACACAAAGTTGAGCAAAGGCCCTCCTAGCCATGACTGCCACTTTCTTTAAGCAGGAGGACTCCCATATTATGTACCAGGTCTGTGAGACATGAGAATTTCTGCAGAATCTTTTCAGTATAAACCTATTCGGCCAGCACATCTGAAATAATTGATTTTTGCCAGCTGTCATACCAAGAAGAGCTGTGAGACAAAGAAGAAACAGAATATTTTCTAACATGGGATTTGTTTTATCAGTGGTTAGATAATAGAAGTAGAAATTAGAAGATAAAAGACTATTATTGTCACTATTATTGTCTATAAGTAAATGGTGAAAGATCAGTACTATATATAAGTAAACAATATATTATTATTATTACCATTACCATCATCATTATTATCACTTTATTGAGTGATAATAAAAATTGAGATTCTTAGCATCTCATGTTGACAACATTGATGGCATAATTATAGTTCACTAAATGGGACAGTAAGATCACGGGATGCTGCTAGCAGGAAGCTGTTACTATGCATTCAATCTCCTTCATTCATGGAATTTCACATGAAATTTTACCCTCCTGCTCTTTCCCCACTGTTGTTTTAATTTCTTTTCTTATCAAGCATAAAATCAATTAAAAGGGGGGAAAATGGAACACATATGCAACACCTTTTGGTTGGTAGATAATGAGCTTACTTATGCATTTGTTGTTATACACCTAACACACTTGTGTCCAAATCTACTGAACTTCCATTTTGCTAATTATCAAATCAATGTCAGTTCAATACTGAGTGGCCAATTTAAGAATCAAAGTAAATCAGCACATCTTTTACATTGATTGTTCCCTTGCAAAACTTACAAATATTTAATTTGTTTCTCTGATCTGCCCAACCAGGCCAAGAATTTTCTCAGTCCAGAAGATCTACTTAAAGGAGAACCAGAAGAAAGTCTGAATAAAGTTCAGAACGCTTTTAATGTTTTTGACTACTTTAAACAATTTTTTGAAGAAAGAAGAGAAAATCTTAGTAATTATTTTCAACCAGGAGAAGAAGTAAAGCAATGGGATTTTCCTCCTGTAATGGTTTTTGCACAACTGAATAATTTCCTAGAGAGGCTTCATGTAGTACATGTAAGTACGTTGTGATGAAAAATAGAACAATGAATAATCTATATAGAAGCAATGTATTTTGTTGTCACCCTTTCCTGCAACCCATTTTGCTTTAATGCAGGGGTTCCCAATCTTTTCTATACCCCTCACCTTAGAACATTCCTGATATATTCTCGCGGCCCTTAAAAATTAATAATTTTATGTATATAATTATACACTCTAATACAAGTCGCACTGGTGCTGCCACTCATTTGGTGCCACCCTGAGACTCGTCATGCAGGTGCTGCTGCTCGCAGCAGGTCACTGCGAGGATCATCCTGCCAGTGCTGCTGCTTGTGACAGGTTGCCACATGGCTCATCCTGCCGGTGCTGTTACTTGCAGCAGGATGTCGCAAGGCTCACCCCGCTGCCACCGCCATTTGCGCATGAAACAATGCAACGCTCTATGCAGCCTCCTGCCATGAGTGGTAGCACTGGCGTGATGTACCAGGCAGCGTCTGGCTGCGAGTGGCCACAGAACAAGTCAGGCAGTGGCACGACAGGTGTCAGAGCATGGGAGACCTGGTGTGGTGATCTTAAGGTAAGTGGGTTACAGTAATATTTTCTAATAATAATTTACTAATTTTTACTGCTAGGCAGTAAGCTATTGTGTTTGTGCATCTGCTGATATCGTAAAATAGGCATTAATGATTTACTTTGTATCCAGAAGTGAATATAACCATTAAAAAAAACTATTGCAAATTATATCATACTTGTCCAATAAGGGCTTCAGCTTAATATAAAGTCTCCACTGTATTCTTATTTATTAGAATGTAAGTCTGTTTTTTAATTAGTTGTATGCTATTTTCCAATCCACTCCCCTTCTTACAAGCAGTGGTTTCCTGTTTGAAGTTTAGTTTACAGATAATCAGAGTTGGAAGGGACCTTGTAGTTCAACCTCCCGCCCAAGCAGAGGCCCTACACCATTTCTGACAAATGGCAGTCCAATCTCTTCTTGAAAGTCTCAAGCAATGGTGCTCCCACAACTTCCGAGGGCAAGCTGATCCATTGGTTGATTGTTTTCACTGTCAGAAAGTTTCTTCTTATTTTCCAGGTTAAATCTCTCCTTGTACAGTTTCCATCCATTATTCCTTGCCTGGCCTACAGGTGCTTTAGAAAACAGCTTGACCCCTTCCTCCTTGTGGCAGCCCCTAAGATATTGGAAGACTCTCTCCCCTGGTCCTTCTCTTTACTAGACTAGCCAAGCCCAGTTCCTGCAACTGTTCATTGTATGTTTTAGTCTCTAGTTCCCTAATCATTCTAGTTGCTATTCTCTGTACTTTTTCTAGAGCCTCAACATCTTTTTATAGTGTGGTGACCAAACCTGGACGCAGTAGGTATGGTCTTACTAAGGATTTATAGTGGTATTAGTGGTATTAATAGCTTATTGGCCCTAATCTAGTCCATTACAGATCTAGGCACTTCTATTACTTTTTCTGATCCAGATGGAAAGAAACAAAGTTTCTTGATTGCTTTTTCAAAATTTTAGATGATGAGGTAAAAGAACACTGTGGGATTTTGAAGAGAACAATATTTCCTCTGACTGGTGCCTTTTAGTTCAATATATTATATATAGCTCCATTAAGTGCAAATACCTTTTGCAAATATAATACAATAAATATACTTAATGCAAAGATTTTAGCCTGCAGAGTCAACATTGCTCGTGCTACTTAGGTTTAGTCTGTAATACTTACGTTTATGAAGTACTTTATATTTAGTACTTATGTTTAGTCCCAATACGATACACCTGTAGAAAAGTTTTATAATGAATTCCTACCTCTTGGCAAAATATGTCCAATAAAGTGAAATACATATCTTCTATCATATCAAGCTATTAGAGGCAGAGGAAACAAACAATAAAACTTGTATAAAAATCCATATTAGGAGTTGGACGTCCCTGTTTTATTCTGAGAAAATTTGACCTTGTTAGCAGTGTACTTGTAAAATATTTGTGACATTTATTTATTGATTATACTTTTTATGTTTTTATTGTGTTTGCTGCCAGCAGAGACAGGATCCTATGGAAAGTGTGGAGAGCCATTAAAGAGAAAGGCAACAAATTAGAGGATTTCTGTTACATATATTTTTGTATTGATGCATGAAATGGCTCATGGTTACAGAAGATGTTCCTGTTGAAACATCCTAGCCTTAGAATAAGATTCAGTAGTAATAATTTTTTAAAATATCCTTGATCAATATGGTTGTGTATCAGCACTGACAGCAATAGCACCTGTGACTTATGCTACCTTCCTCTCTCTGTCAAAAAGTCTGCCTATAAATTGATAAATACAAATGATCATGCTCAGAAAAACATGTAATACATTAGGGATGAGAAATAAATTATGTGAAAAAAGTTTTGGGTATTTTTTTTTTTTGGCTTTTGGCTAGTTAATCAGTATGTAATATTGTTAAAGTCCAAAGGCCAGCCTAAATGTCAAGGATATAAACTGTGAATTGTTGATTTCTGTAGGATCTTCTGATGACAGTTCTGGATATAGAGAAATTGGAGAAGTTGGAATTTAGTGGCATAAAAGGCAAATCTCTGAGTCAGCAAGTCCTGAGTATGCATGAAGAATTCCAGGAAATGTATAATGTATTTTCAGGACGGACTTATGACTGTCTGGATGTGGCTAATACGGTGGGTGATTTTGGACTCTAGGAGAGTAGAAGTTCTGTACCTTTGCTAAAGAGAACTTCAGGGGTTAAATCTAAAGTAAAAAGTATCTGGTGTTGAAAGGCCTGTTCAATCAGAAATAGCTTTTATTAATAAAAATATTTATTTGGTTCTTTTAGGAGTTTGAAAATGATGTGTGTGACTTTAAGAGCAAAATGGAAGATATTGATCGGCGGTTGGGGACTCTCTTTGCCAAAGCCTTTGATGATGCAGCTAGTGTGGAGCATGCATTCAAGGTTTGCAATTTGTTATACTGAGCTACTGCAGAACAAAGGAAATGTGGCCTAGTTATGTTTAAATAATGACAAATGCTTAGATAAGGTACTAGTTTATGGATTTTTATATTTCAATAGATGCATACTTTATTATCAGTCAATGTTGGCCACAGCATTGAAGTAATTACAATTGTATGCATTTTGATAGCTAGTTCATTAAGGGAAATATGTGAGCAATGACAAGGATTCTTGTTTGTAAATGATGATTGCAGGACATATTCATTTTCTTTCCTTTTTTTCTGTGTGATAATGTAGCTGATAGACATTTTTGGAAGCCTCCTGGATCGACCAATGATAGCAGCAGAAGCCTATGATAAATATAATTTTCTCATCACAATGTTTGACAAAGACCTTGATGATGCTAAATTGATCTACCTGAAACGTATTGAGGAGGAGACAAACATAGGTACATGTTTAAAAAGTCTTAATACTCAGTTAACAGACAGTGTTAATATACATTGGTAAATTGATCTAAGCAATTTCATTTTCTAAAGTTGCCATAAGGATCTATTACCTTACCTAATTTTCATTATAGATAGTTTTCTTTTCTAGATTAAAGGTGTAACAAACAGCTAGGCAAAGTGAAGACAGTGTAAAAATAACAATCTACTATGTGTTATCCCAATATCAGGTTATTCAACCGGGCTTCATTTAATGTTCATTCCCAGTTGTATTTTGTTTTAGGAATAAGGGCTCATGGTTCTTTTTTTAAATTGTAGATTGTTAAATATCAGTGTGATCAGTTGGAATTCACTTTTATGGGAAAAAGACCTTTTCAGGCGGTATAATATCAGGGTATTTTTATGATTTCAGTGGACAATTAATGATTTTTGGAAAACTGATCCTTACAATGAGTTGGATGGTGCCAGGGAATGTGTCTATGTCATGTATTTAGTCAGGGACAGCATTTTCCCTGACTGAGATTTTTGTTGGCTGTTAGGATTCTTATTGGTATTTTAGCAACCTACATTATTAATATTAAGCCTACTCAGAATGTTGGTGTGTTTTTGAGTTTCAGGCTGAATTTTGTTTCTCAGGGTATTCACCAGTGCATAAGAATATGCCTTTGGTGGCTGGAGGGGTTCAGTGGGCTCAGGAACTAAAACACAGGATCAAAATCCCATTTAGTAATTTCAGACACCTCAGTTATTGGTGAGTATCTTTATTTCAAAGAAAAAAATATTTATTTTGCCAGACTTTCTGTATCAGTGTTCTGCATGAATGTTAAAATGACACTACTTGACTTTACAAAATAAGTTTGAAAAAAGGCTTTTGGCTTACACTTTTTATTCTTTCCAACTTGATGGAACCCTGGAAAATGATTATCTAAAAGATTTGAGACTTGATCCATCTGTCTATCTTTCAGTAGGCTAACTCCCCCCCCCCCCCGCCCAACAAAACAGACCAGGAACAATGTTGGTATGACTAGAGAAGTCAACAACAGCAAGCAATATTAAAAATGTGCTGGAGTCTCCTATGGTTATGTGACCCAGAATGGAATGAATGGAAAGAACTTTTTATAGCTCTGTCCCTTGTTCTAGTCTGACTTATTGTAATCCTAGTGAGACCTCAAAGGATTTTGTCAGGCATTTGTGGCTGGTGGATTGTTGAGAAGACCAAATAGCTGATGAAGATCCCACCTCTATATTAGAGTGTTGAATATTTTTCTCTCTGTTTTTGTCATATCTCTTGAAAAGAGATATAACAAAACATTTAATTAGATACAGGTTTGAATTGAAATTATATATAGATTTGAATTTTAATGATAAATTTCTACCCTGTTCAATGATAACAGTGATCTATCTATCTATCTATCTATCTATCTATCTATCTATCTATCTATCTATCTATCTATCTA